CCTGTCACGACCGTCTATCCTTAGGAACGATCTACTACACTACGTGGAACAAAGTTCTCCTTTTATAGAGCCGAATTGAAAGACACCGAAATAAGGTGAGCGTCGAATACACAATACAACCGCCAAACGATGCTATGTCAATGTGTATTCAGCTGGCGATCCTTTGGCAGACCGATCCTGAAACGTTGTAATCGTGGAGCTAATGGAGGCCCAAGGCTGAACATTTGCTTTTGATCCTCTGTCTGTAAGCGAGTTCTCGGCGCACGTATAATTCATTCAATTGGCCCAGTACCATGATGGCTGCCGCATTGATCGCAGCCGATTCATCGAAAGGCATTGTTATGCCCCGACGAGACTCCAGAGGATGCCATGGACTGATTTCCGATATTCCAAACTAATAGGTCTGGTTGATCGGCTGCCATAGTTTGCCTCATGAAACGGCGCAGCAAGATGTTTTCCAAATACTGCTCGGTAGAAATTTATGCTACGCTTGGACAGAGGAGAACCTGAGAGCAATTCAATGACCATCGAGACGTCTCTTGAAACGCATCACCAGTAAGCACGACCCCGAGCTACGTGGAATCCTCTTCGGGTTCCACTGTTTCTCTGTTTATCGGCTAGGCGCAACGGGCAGAAAAATGCCAAAGCTCTGCTGTTTTCATCATAGACATGTTCACACGCATATTGGCTTGGTCTCGTCGGGCTGTGATCCTTTTCATAAAGCTCTAGTGGCTTGCTTCAGAAGATATTTTCAATGCCAATAAAAAGCTTCGTCTACACACTCCATCCTTTTCGCCTCTACTCCTCATACACTGACGCAATCGTTGTCTTGCACTGCTTCATTATCCTGTCAGTGTAAATACGAACAGGAAACAGGACAAAACTCAGGCATAACAAAGACTGGTGTTCCCCCAGTAGCCATTACAATTTACCAGCACACCTTGATCGCTTAGAGCCTCAAGTGTCTCAGGACTGATTGTATCGATTCCAGCAGCTTTGCCACTTTTCAAGCGTTATACAGATTCGACATCTACTTTAGGACTAGCATCCGTTGCTGGCTGCCCTTCAGCGAGTCTTCCCGAAAATGCTCAGCGTTAAGAACCTCCCTCTCCATGACGGATGCAAGCCATATTCCTTCGTAAGAATGCGCGTGAAATTGTTCTTCACGGATCGGTAAACGTTCATCTGCCAATAACAACGGGGCGATGGATTGCCTGGTAGAATGTCTCTTTTCTCCCTATAGAAATTCGACTCCAGCACCTCATTAAGCTCCCAGGAATCAGGTGTGACATTCGCCCCGTTTTCGCTCCTATTTCAGCGCTTCTACGTACCGCATGTGATTCGAGGCTGTTTGTTTCCCTCTTGATGGAGTAGGCTGTTTTTACGAATCTCTGAATGATTTTAATGAAATCTGGACGTGGCATCGGCAATAGTTGAAGATACGAAGCTATGCTTCGAAAGGGGCTTTTACTCCAATGAAATGAAGCTGTTTAACACGAACATCACGACGACTGTGAAACTATTCTACTCATCGTTTTAGTCCACCGAATTGCAGGACAGTTTGTCATGGTCACTATCATGAAGAATACCTTCCCTTCGACTTTTCCCACTGGCTCAATTTGACCTTGAGCTTCAAGTGCATCATCCAGGTCTAGCTCTGCCTCACGCACGTACGTTTCGTGTAGAATGCAGTGTCGATTGCAGGATCGACGTTTCATCCAATAGTCCTGTCGCGTTTGCTATTGTGATTGCTTTGAGAAGGTGATTTCAATTAGTCAAGAACGTTCTTCAAGAAATGTGTATCTGGTTCAGTGACAATGCTTCGTGGCTCAACTCACTGATACTTCTAAGATTCACGATGGTCGCTCAAGAATATGGCAGAAACATCAGTAACTAATATCTGAATTAGGTCGGTCTCTAATGATCCCGTTGCCATCGAGTATTCCCAATGACAATCAGCAAACTGACTTTTAAAAGCAGTGTTTCGCTCTTGTTTACTATTAAATCGTGTCATTTGCGCGATTTCCTGACTTATGCCAATTTTGCACAGATCCTTGATAAGTTAGTTAAACTGGAGCAAAATCAGTGACCCAAATATGCGTATGTATGCTAAGAGGCATCCACACCCTTTTGCTTAGAACAAAATAACTTTCCAATTTCAAAATGAGTAGCTTCTTGGAGGCTGATATCTGGTAGACTCAATGAGTTAATTCAGCTGAAGTACACTTCCTTCTTTGGAGTTAATCTTTTGTCCTGAACATCAGCTGTGGATAGATGCGAATTTCTGTTCCAAGACGACTTCGCGTCAGACCGTATTGCCAATTGCCATAACCTCTTCCAGAATAATTGCAACAAAACATTTTGCTGTTATCTATTGATAGCATGTCAACGATCGGTCACTCGTTACGCAGCTGATTGTCTTAAACTCACTCCTCAAGGAAAGTCACGAATTGTTGATAAAATGTTTAAGGGTAAAAATTTCGCACTTCCTGAGATCGAATCGCCTTTCTACGCCCAATGCCACCTCATAAATGATCAATCAAAATTGAAAAATAACATTCATTCTCAAATAATGGCTAGTGAGACTGAAATTATGCCTCGTACATATTCATAATTTCAACAACGACTGCAGTCTTTTTCATGAACAGTTTTCCCTTAACCATTTATTGATTTATTAAGAGGTTTCATCTTACACTGATCTAATCAGATATCAGGCGGTTCAGAATACAAGTCATATATTCGATCGCTTGTTGCAGGTCTCCCGAACTAAGGCATAATTTCATGCTGTTCCGAGTTTTCGCAGGACAGCAATTTTCTACCGCTGCAATAAAATAGTGCCAATTCCCTGATCAGTTAATTAAAAAATGAAGGCCGTGCTAGAATCCGTACTCTGCACCAACAAAAACTCACTTAATGACTCACATCTTCCGGGCACCAGTCACAGCGTTGTTTTGAGTACAATTGATTGAGAGTAATAAAGACCTGCGATAATACTCGATAAGCAGTGGAAGGGAATTGCACTCGCGCCTCATACATGAATGCAAGGAAACAGTTATGTGGTATCTAAGTGCTTGGAATGACAGTAATCCGTCATCAAAGTTGCATCAAGCTCAACTAGCTAAGCTGCGGCAAGAAGATTCCGTTAGAAAGTGTAAATTACCATCACAACAGTTGAAAATCGTTCAGAATAGAAAATATTTCATTCGTCTCATAGGTAACACTTTTCACAAAATGCAGTGACACTTTATTTGGTAACTGCATAATCAGTGGGATACAAAAGATGTGCTTTATTCTTGGCGATTTGAAATAATAGATTTCTGTGTTTCAGTTTCATTACCTTTCAAGGAAAGTGTCTATGACAATGAAATATTTGTCTTCAACAGGCTCCTGCTATGTTTCATTAAGTTCATTATTTTATCCGTTTCTGCACATTCTAATTCCGAAAATGGTAAGGGATTAAATGAATTAAACAAATCAACCAATCAGTCAATGAATTAAATTATATTAAATTTAGAACTTAGTGAATCACTTAACCGATTTATTAATGAATGGATTTTCTCTCTTGAACTCGATTGAATGCCCTTCTCCTTAATACAATAAATCATTATCAGTTAAATCACTGATAATAATGAAAATACAGTGCACGGTGCTTTGTGGATTAAAGAAACAACAGTGAACGATCAGATCCGAGGCAAAACAAAGGGTGTTATACTTTATCGTTTCTGAAACAAACGTAATCAAAAATAACTTTTATTTTAGTATATACTGTTAAGAGGAATCAGGGGTCTCAAAAACAAGAGTCTCATCATTCCCAAGAATGCATTTATCAGAGACAAGAATTTTTTTAAACTTTACTCCTGAACTGGGTGCCTCAAAGGATTGTTTCATTTGCTTCTAAACACGGACATATAATTCCCATCGGACTACATTTAAGGTCTGAAGTTAGCATACCACGCACCGTTTCAGCCGGTTTGCGGGTACTTTTCAAAGAATATTTGCAGGACGATGCCAAGAAAAGGTACTTTTGTAAAAATCAGCCATACGCCATCTCCACCTCTCAGAACATTGGAGGCTCCCAAATTAACGGCAAAAGTACAACAACAAAAAATCTTGACATAAAATTTACTTGTTCAAAAAGTGCAGAAAAGCTCAACAGAACTGAAACTAAACAGAAACATGCTTTACGAGAGACATTAGCGTTACTTCTCACTTTTCACGTTAAACTTGTTCGAGATTAATAATCACAGAAGCATAGTTTAAAGATGCGACTAACATTGAAACATTTCTATGGAAACGTCATCTTGACTTAACGACGGGTTCCATCAGAGAAGAAAACACCACCGTCTGTAGCGCAGTACTTCGGACAGACACCATCTGCTCCGGGTTGACCTTTCGAACCTTTTTCACCAAAACCACCACCCACGCCTTCGCTACCAAATAACCCAGGCAATCCGACAGGGCCGGCAGGACCAGGAATGCCCTGGAGACCATCGACACCTGGATGACCTATTTCTCCCTTCAGACCCATCGAACCACGTTCACCTGGAGGTCCAGGATCGCCAGCGCTTGGCTCGATCGATGCCGCTGAAACGCCTAGGTAACCTTGTGGGCCGTCCGCACCTTGTTCTCCATCATGGCCTGGCGGGCCTTCCGGACCGGGTGGTCCAGACACACCGTCTTTACCTGGAATTCCTTGCGGTCCAATAGGTCCGGCAGCACCGACTACTCCGTTGGAACCTGGCGGACCCTGCGGACCAGGTTTGCATGGCATGCAAGATGGAGCAACTGGGATTATACAGAGCTCAGGAGGTGGGGGGCCAGGGAAACCAGGAGAGCCTGGTGGTCCAGGACGTCCCGGCCTTCCGTTCTTTCCAGGAATGCCTTGTTGTCCAAGCGGTCCAGGGAGACAACAATCTTCGCAGCCGGGCTTTGCTGCTCTTTTGACGATGGTTCGGTTTCGAGGATTCTGTTTTTCCAACGTACGAAAGTGGCGGATTTCAGTGACCGCATCGCTGGCCGACGCTCTGCATAGCCGTAGTTCATCATCCACTTGGTCTTCAATGTATTGGATGTAGTTGTAGAGCATTGGCAAGGTGATGCATACTGAGGCGATGGCCAAGATGCTGAACGTGACAGCCGAGCAGGCGATGAACCGATACGCTTTCTCCCTGCTGTCCACCTCCATTGTTTAATGATCAAAGTGCCGTTCATCATACACCTGCGATCGCTTTTATATTCGCTAGATGTAGAGTGGTCTGAATACCGTCAACAACTAGGTCATAAACGGCTGGTTCCTTTCCGCCATACGTTTACCCATTGTCAGAGCAGTTGTCAAGATGTGACCCAGATGGCCGTACTGGTTCCCCGAAATGCTTTTAACCAGTTCTTAGTTTAAACCAATACTGCCATCGAGTAAGACGGATGAAATTCATTGCACCTGGGTTGTACTGTCACATACCACCGGCTTCTGCTTGCAGTTTCCAAATAGGTACCTAAGAAGGTCACGGATTAATGGTGTTTTGGCCGTTCTCTTAAATGATTAGGTGGTGGTGCCAGGTGAGCTTATTGCTAGAGTCGGTGAGGGCAGATTGAGGTTGGAGTCGATGACGGAATTTCTGATTGGGAATTATGAGTGGCAACTCTATCTTCCTGCTCTGCGCAACTGCTGGTCTTTTAGCGATAGTTTTTCAGGGTTAAAGAAACAAAACGCATCTTGGCACAAAACAGCAGTAGAGACACTTTAAAGTGCTATCGCTTCGACCACTACGCATATGCATGTGTTCTCACACACCATTGATTGGTTTCCGCACCTACTTGGTTCGACTGGTTTTTTCGTCCTACCTCCATATCCTCCTGAGCTTCACACACTGAGTAAATGATACAGTCTCGACCATTTTCTCGAGGCCACTGCTTTGCTTAGGAGTACGCCAGAGGCATCGACAAACGAAGGTATATCCTTCCGTTCTGATCACTTGTAAACATCTGGACGTCCTTGACTAATTTAGCGTAGAAGGTGGTTCACCCAAAGCTGGCCGAAAAACAGATGTTGCATTCTGACTGCACGTTTGAAATTCTGGTATATTGAAACTTCGTAGAAAGGAGGAAGAGGTGGAGTAGCAGCGTCTGCATTGAATCTTCCACACTTAGGCGAAAGGAAACCATGAGGCATGTGACAACGGAGGAACAGATGAGACACACGAAAACATGCGTAACATGCGTCGTAGCAACAACCTCATGGGAGGGTGTAGAGTGTCTAAACTCCTTTCAGAGAAAGTGGCACGATAATTTGCAGCACCAGTTAAACGGTCTGTTGGGACAACACATGTGTAAGCTGCCGCAGCATGCTTCCGATTACTGACACATTACAAACCGGAATTGAACTTATTTTCAGCCACGAATAGGCGACATGGCTGATGCCACCTTGAACCCGATATGGAAACCGACACGTTCATGTCGGCTTGTTGAAGTCACTGCAGTTAAGGGCAAAGTCAGAGATGGGAGCTGCCAAACCAGAGTGGAACTGCTGAAATGACCATGGCGATTAAGAAACACACTGTTCCACAAATCACGTTTTGAAAGTATTATACGCCAGGTGAATGGACAAATACGATTTTCGTCTATTTATAAAGTCTGAGAAACAAAAGTACATCAAACTTCTTGCCACTTCTCTTGAGGATATCCCATATTGCTTCTCAAGTTTCTACAAGATCTCGAACAAGCTGGGCATACAGATTTTCTGGGAAAAGTCGAAGGTTTCTAAAACATTGGAATTCGACAGCCACGGAATTCACGTGGACTGCCAGGCAGTTGAGTGGAACAGTATAGCTATCTACCTCGGAAAGTTAATAAACTCCTCCGGACGTTACAGACCTCAGTTGCTACGTTGTCTTATCTTTGAAGCTTTATCGACGAAAGCGATGCCATGCGTTTACTTATAGGTCGCCCTCTCGAATATACTAAATTACAGCTCTGCCAAACCTGCAGTTTGTCCGTCCAATTGGCGGAGCCCAGAAATGGACATTGCAGAAATCAGTCACAAGGAACTTTTAGTCCTTACTAGAGGAGTCACAGGCAAGTCCACAAGATCAAGTGCCCGGACTTCGTTCGCAACGAAACCTCATCGAGTTCACTAGATTTCCTTCCTTCGACGACACATTGGGCGGGAGCGGTGCAGCTGCGTTCGGCGATCTGGCGAGGATGGTGAAATAACTCCTGGGCATAGTGTTCTCGCTGCAGCTGTGCACACTCGCAACGGCGCCTGATCGTCGACTTCCTGGCGGCGGCCCAGAGGCAAACAACGGGATAAAATGACGTAAGAGCTTTCTCAAACAGGTCAGCTGCATTCTGAACAGTTAACCCCAATCATCGCAAGAGGTCATAGATTTTAGCACAACGGTCCTTACGCTTGTTCTGGCTGTTGATTTTGAATTCAGTGCATGGACATCGCATCTGTCGTGACTTCTGTCAAAAACACAATGCATCGCATTCAGAATGATATGCTCCAAGACTGTGTTCCACAACATTTACAGTAGAATCTCGAAGGAGCAAGCGTCTGGAATAGGCTTACTAAGACGAGTCGCTGGCCTTACGCGTCTCGATGTGGTCTGGAATACAGACATGCGGGAGAGCGTGTTTGTGCAGACTCTGTTTCTTCAGATTGAGAAATGTGACAGCTGTGATGGCTTTGGCATGTGTTGTGAAGGTATCCAGAAAGAAAGGCTGAGCGACCGGCAGAAGGCCAAGGGTAGGCAAAGATTAACCTGGTAAAAATATATTGAAGAAGAGTGCTGCAGGCTCCGGTTGTCTTCTCCCGAAGTGAAGCTAGGACTCTGGCACAGTGTCGGGAAAGTTGGAAGCATTGGCCGACACGTCCGCCTCCTCGACCCAAAAGGAGAAGCTGTCACCGAAGGTGGAGATGAATGAATATCAGTGGAGTACATACAATCATGTATGCGTTTGTGCCATCACCTTGCGCCATTTTCATAAGTGTAACACCTCTGGTTTGAGAAATCTGCTGAATATGCAATTTTGCAACAATTTAGTCAAAAGTACATTGATG